GATATGATTCTATTTGTGAAAATATGACAACTTTTCCAAATTTCAACGAAACAATTATTTCAAGTTTGTTGCATATATCGCTTCTTTCTATATTTAGTTTCTTTTGCAATTGGCATGTAAAAATTTCATAGTCTCCCAAGAGATTAACATCAGTATTAAATATAAAATATAAAAATTATAGCAACCAATGTTATTCACAAAAATGAAAAGAGTAGTTCAGCTTTTATACTCCATGGAATGTAAATATAAAATATAAAAATGTTAAAAATGGCTGTGGTCAAGGAAATTTACGCGTTATTTTGGCTTACCAGTTAAAGTTGAATACATTGCACTCCGCGTTATTATATTCCAGATGCATAGTATCTACTATTCCAAACATATTTTTCCTACGTTTCTAATTATAACTATGTTTTCAACTTTCAACCTGAAAATTCTCTCAAAGATCTTTCTTTGAAGTGCCGAGAGTTGAACAAAAAAAAGCACAAGAAAAAGAAAAAAAATGGAAAAGGTAAAAAAAAAAACCATTTTTCACTTGATAATTATTACAGAAGAAAAAGGTAATTATAAAATATCTTTATTTGCATTAAACGAAGTCATATAGTTTCATACTATAGACGTTATTCATCATGTATATAATCATCTCTGTTCATAATTTTATTTTATTTTTTTAACATTCAATAAGAATCTCGATTTCAAATTTCTTGCCAACGACTTCGTCTGTATATAATTTATTTTAAGAAATTTTTATTTTAAGAAATTAAATTTTTTATTTAAAATTAAATTAAATATCAAACTAGCTCTCAAATTTGTTAGTTGAAGAGGTGTTTGGTTATGTTTTTAAAGATCATGCACGAAAGCTATACTCATATTTATTAGTCGAACCAATTCAGTATTTTTGGGGAAATTATATTAGAGTTTTGACCTTGATAAGTGTCTTAGCTAATCTTAGATTTAATTTATGTAATTTGAGAATTTATATTTACGTTTTTCTAATTCAATAATTTCGAATAAATCTTGGTAAGCTGTTTTTGTCCTTGATCTCCGCACATTCCCCACGATGGCCCTAATAATTCTCTTATAAAGAAGCCAGATGTCATTTTTCTGAATAAACAAATGTCATTTTCCCTTCTTAATATAATGATACTTGAATATATGCCTGAATAATATTAATTGTTTAAAAAAAAATTGTGGTTTTCCCTTCTCAATATATTCTCCAAGTTTTGAGTGTCCGGTAGTTTTCCGTCGGTGAGCCTCTGCTTCGCGGTTGCCGGCCCCACCCGGCCACCGCCTTCCCCCCCCCCCCCATTGTGACGTCAAATAAATCTAGCTACGAAATATATATATATATATATATCAATGTTTATAGATACTAATATTTAAAAGTAAATATAATTATACATGATTACTTTTTCGAAACCATGGAGACGAAGAGAATAATTTACCAAAAAGTTTATTCTGAAATTTCTTTTTCTGTTTGTTTATGTTTTCTATTTACGGTATTGTTTTGGTTTTGCTTTATTCGATATTCCAAAAGGAGTAGTGCAAATGTTGTAATGTTGTTTACAAAATTACACATTAAAACACGAATAAAAAATAATTAAATAAAACTGCATGCACTAATTAAGGAAGTGGATAATAACATGCAATTATTTTATTCCTCATCTGTTTATTTTTTTAAAACAAATGATACGAGAATTTTGGAAATTATGTTGACACGCCATCACATCCTCCAATATTTTCATGGGCTGGTCCATCCATTAAAGTCCCCTGAAAGAGATGCCATGAAAGCGAAATAAGGATGTAGTTTTTATTATCGTAGAAAATTATGAAGATAATATTAAGAAGAAGAAGAAAATAAAATATCACTTTATTTTTTGTTTGAATTAATTTCAGTTCCACAAATTTTAAAATAACACTATTTAAGAAATTTATAGAAGATTGATTCTTTGTCCTCCATGTTTGCTATTATTGAGCAATAAATTAAGTCCTAACGCTATTGATGAAAGTTACCACTCTGTTTCTTATTATAGGTTATTTGTACCCCAAAAGTTCCTTTCAAAATATAAGTCACTTTTAGTATAATTAACGATCTTTTTTTAATTTTACCCCTATTAATTTAATAAAAAATTAATTAATCTCTCTCTCAACTTTTCATTTCCTATGCAATCTATCCTCTCCCCTCTCTCTACTTTTAATAAGGATAAATATGAAAAAAAACTGATTAATTTAATATGTTTCTTGGTTTGCGGGTTTGAAATACAATTGACTTATAATAAGAAACAGAGTGGTACTAGTCATGGATATTTATATATATATATATTGTTGATGAATTATTTTGAAAAAGAAACAATGATATACAGATATAGTCAGGCCTCTTGCCCGTATCCATATATCACAATTTATACAATAACTTTTTATAGCAGGACATGTGATTTAATAAGGATAATAATTACATTATTATTTAATTATAATCACATAGGAAAAAATAGAATGTAATGAATTTATGTGATAAAAAAAATTGACATAATAAATATATAAAAAACTTGACTTGAGTATTTTCTTTTAATAAATTCATATTAAGATCGGGTAGCTCAGTGGCACCAAATGCGTAGTTTTTTTTTTTTCCCCCAGGCATGATGTCAATTCCAACCTTTTGTAAAAGGCATAATAGGTGCTTGAATTATAAATAAAAAAAAAAGTAAATTCGTAGCAAGCCATACCCATACCGTATATTGTGCTATGCATTATTGAATAAAAAATAATGAGAATAAATAATCATAGCTAAAGATCGTTGAATAAATAAGATATAAATACTTTTATAAATAAAAAGAACAAAATTTATAAATAAGAGAGTTCATTTTTAAAATTCCATAAATAGTAGGAATACACATGTATGATGTCACTGTACAAGAAAAGAAAAGGATAACCTTTTTTTTTTTTGACCAGCGAAAAGAACAGGATCACTTGACCAGAGAAAAGGACAAAGGGAACATGTCCTTGCCAGAATGCACCATGCGAACCACGCAATTCGTAACTTTTTTTTTTTAATATTATTATTATTAGTCATTCTTATCACTAATATAAAAGTTAGTTTGGTTTTCAATTTAGTCTTAAATATAAAAATATAATTCACTTTATCTTTTATATTTATCTATTTCTTCCAAAGTATTTATCTTTCCTCTTTATAAGAAACTTTAAATATATTTCATATAGACCAAGAAAAAAATCTTAAAATGCATCAGCTCTCCATTAAAACATAACATTTTCTAACTTTATCCATATTGAATATATATATCTTTAGAAGAGAATAATTATCTATACTATAATAAATGAAGGATGAAATAGTATATTCACGCTAAAAATTTAATGAAGTGATTTATAAATAAGAAAAAAAAATTCTCTCTACCTTATAAAAGGACCAAATGAGTAGTTTTTGTAATAATTACGCATGTTAAATATTTTATCAAATGATAGTTTTAACTCATATCCGTAATTAATAAGGGTATTCTAAAAAAAAATAATACTTATTTATTACAAATAACTAATTTAACTAATTTTTTTAATTTTTTAAAATTAGTATATTAAAGACTGATGTTAGTATATAACAAACCAAGAAGCAATTCACATTTAGTATAAGAAACAATTATCATCTCTATCTTTTTTTAATAAAAAAAATACTTGCAAGATGTCTCAATTTTTTATGGTTAGTTTTTTATTTTATCCGTATTAATTATTTATTTTAATATTTAATATATTTATGATCTTATTTTCTGAAATATTATTTATTTATTTATTTATTCATTCTCTTATATTCTCCCTCCATAAACGAGGATATTCTGTAGAAAAGGCTTCCAATTTGTACATATTTATTATTTTTAATTAAACTTAACTGAGATCTAGTCAAATATTTCTTATAAAAAGAGACGTAGAGAGTAACTCATAACCTAGCAAAGCAAAGCATGCACAAGTAATGTAATACATAACGAGCTACTCTCTTTTTTCCCCTAGTTTACCTGTCATCAGTTTTATTTTTGTTGGACTTTTTTTGCCAGCCAATTCTTGTTGGACTGAACTTAGAAGATTTTTATAGCATGTTTAATTATTTATCTTCAAAACTCAATTTGAACCTTTTGCTTTGGATGAAGTTCTGGAAAACCCAACAGATTATTGCTTCCCATGAATGGAATTTTGAGAAACTCAAACGAATTGACCCACTTGGCTCATGAACTTGTTTATTTATTGGGTTAATAGAAACCCATCTGTATTTTTTATTGAAAAATAAATTCAAAAGGTTGAAATCTTGGGGCAAAAAAGCTAAAAATCAGAAGTTAAAGAAAATTGCTTCAATTTTATTTAGAGTAGATTTTAGATAAAAATTTAATTGCTCCTAAAACCATGTTAAATATTTTTTTTTTTTATCTAACTAGTTCTGTAACCCTAGAGTTCACTGTCTTCATGATAAACTGGACCCAACTTGACATATGATTATATATATATATATATATATATATATATTTATATATATAATATTGTTATTTATGTTTTGTATTTGTAAATATTATATTGAATGATTTAAAAAGCAGTAGAACACAATTATAATCACTTCATTTCTAAAATCTAATGTTCCTCCCATCCAAAATATAAAGTTCATTTTATAGTGTAATTTTAATTTTATTAAAAAAATTACGGTTGAAATTACCTAAAACGATTAACATTTCTAAAGTTTGATCAGAGAGTCTCCTAAACTTAACTGTGGTGGAAGAATAGGCAGGAAAATTGAGAGCCACATAGGAAGAGAGTGACACGTCATCAACACGTGTCAAAGGAATGTGCGTGCGAGTGCTGGGAGCAAAAGGGGTCCCACAGAAGGGGGTCACTTAGGTAATTAAACTGCTTTTTTACTCTTTCCGGAAAAGCCTCATCTTTTGCCTCCTCCCTAACCGCTTCCCCATTATTAAAGGGGGCCACCTTCCGCTTCTCTCCCTCTCATGCTATCCACTCGCTTCAATCACCCTCCCCCACCTTCTTCTTCTTGCCACCGGAAATGGTCGCTCTGGTTTCCCAAGACAATGTGGTCGCATTGGTTTCTCGCACCGGCCGCGAATTGCAGCGTTACCGGAAAGGCCGCCGCCAAGTCGTCGGGTTCGTCTCTTTTCCTTTTAACTTTCTTCTCAGGGCTATTCCCGTATTCTGGACTGTTTAATTGATTCCTTCGTGGCCTTGGGTTTCCGGGATTTGTGGGTGCTTGCTTGAAGACAACCTTAGGAGCTAAAGGTTTCACCTTTCTCCTGGTTTTCTTCATAGTAACGGGGGCACAGCACGGGGCATAAGTGTGCGGATTTGCTTCTGTGGTGAAGGGGTTTTTGAGGAAAAACGAACCATTTGATTGATTTTTACGGTCGAAATTATGTGCAGGTGTATACCGTACAGATACAAGATGGAGGAGCAAGGTTCCATGGAGGCGTCAGGAGAACTAGAAGTTCTGGTAATCAGTTCACAGAAAGGCAAAGGGATGCTATTTCCAAAGGTATTTTCCACCCACCCACCTTCCTACAAATATGCATGTTAGTAAATAATTAACTGTGATTTACATTATTAATAACCTTGTTGACCAAAACCAGGGAGGCTGGGAATTAGACGAATCCCAAAAGGAGGCCGCTGTGAGAGAAACCATTGAAGAAGCAGGAGTTCGGGGCATTGTTGGGGTAAGCAAACAGCCAAACAAGCCCTTCACTTTCTCCTTCATGATTCATAAACCTGTTAATCTGATTCTGTATATTGTGTTTGGTTTCAGGGTAAACTGGGTAAGTGGAGCTTCAAGAGCAAAACCCATGACACCTTCTATGAAGGCTACATGTTCCCTCTCCTTGTTCAAGAACAGCTTGAACTCTGGCCTGAGCAGAACTTCCGTCAAAGAATCTGGGTAAGTGATCAATCACCTATTGAATTCCTAAAAATTTCACCACAGATGGTTTGGTACTGGACCATGTGACCAATCTGAAATATAGTTAGGCTCATTCTCAGATTGATTTGATTGTGCGTAGATGAGTGTTGACGAAGCAAGAGAAGTGTGTCAGCACTGGTGGATGAAGGAAGCATTGGACAGACTGGTGAATCGACTGAGGGCTAATAAGAAGCTTGGACTAGAGAAACAAGAAGGTTCTTTGAAGAACAATGGAGGATTGGAGATGGAAACTCTGATGATTTGTAAATAGATGATGAGAATTTAGTAGAGAGATTAGAGAGGTTCTATATTTTGTCTTTTTCTCTCGGATCTTATCAACCGCGATGATCAGGAAGAGTAGGAGGAGGAGGAGGATGAAAACCCAGGATTTAATTCTGCAATTGTACTGCAAGATGATAGAAAGATATAGTAGTAAATAATTTTCTAGATCAGATCAGATTAGTGTTTTGAGTCTTCTTTTCTCTCTCTGATTTGGGTTGATTGGAATCTGATTCCTGCAAAAATCTTGTGTTAATTTGTGGGGATTCCATCTGTAATCTGTTGACCCTCATATAGTCATATCTCAAACAGAATGCAGATGGTCATAATTTAAAGGAAGAAAAGAGATGCCGTTGCTGCGATTTTCCGCATGATTTTGAACCCCACTTGGATTTCTCTCACTGGAAAAGCGTTGGCGGGGTAATACTAATATCCAGTTAATTCCAAGACCTTCTGATCATGTTAATTGATTGAGTTTCTAGAATCCACCAATGAACAGATTCTTTATGCTGGGGCCTCAAATCGAACAAGCAAGTACAGCAACAAGTTTGCCGTGAGGCAAACAAAACCGTTATAAATATGCTGTTTTTTCAGTCTTAAAAAAAAAGACAATATTTGAAAATATCTATAAAATTTAGGGTCGAAGGTCCGTTATTTTTACTTTAATCATGTTACTATTTAGGTAGTATTCATGAAATCAAGTTTTTGTTTTCGTAAAATAATTATATCTTTTTAATTATGAATATAAAAATTCAACATTAGTTGTATATATTTACTGTCTCTTTTTTTTATTGGTATTCTCAAATTACTTTGGAGCTGTAGTTAATTTTAGGTAAACCTGCCCAATAAGTGCGATAAATTTACTGTCTCTATTTTTTTCCCCCTTCTTTTTGGGGGAAAAATCATAAATAACTATTTATATTTTTATTTGAAAAAAAAGCAATTGTGTTATCATTAAATATATATGTCACGAATAAAGAAATTATATTAAAAGAGTTATTCAAATTAGTCCAACATACAAAAGTCACAACAATGCAAGAGACGAATTTTTTTTAAAAACAAAAAATCATCATTCCCAGAAGCCATTTAGGATCTGTTTGGTATAAGGGAAATGAAGGAAAAGAGAAGGGACAAAAATTTTTAATGAGTTTGTTTTAAAAAAATTAAAGAAGTGGAGTTATAAAATTTTGATAAAAAGAAAATATAAAATAAAAGAATGAGAAAAATTTATTAAAAAAATTTTAATCCCACTTCTTCAATTTTTAAAATGAATTGAAAATGAATGGACCCTTAAAAGTTTCAAACTTCCCCGCATAATCTTGAAGACAGACGGCGGCGGAATCCTCCTTTTTTAAAAATATCTCTTATAAATCATAATGTTTTTTTTTTTGGCCAGAGAAATCATACCGATTACAATATATGAAAAATTAATTTATTTTTAAGCTCTATATGTTACGTTTGCTACAAAGTAATAAAAATGAGATATAAGAATTAGGATTGAGATTGAAAACATATGTTAAAAGGATATTTAGCATGGGTGATTTCTTATCACATGGAATTAAACAATCCTATATAAATATTATTGAAGAATACCACCTCTCCTCATAATATTTCCCAATCTCATATATATAAGTTTGTCTAATTCCAAATATCATGTAATTACTCATGCTAAATACTTTTTTAATATAGTTTTGTATTTTCAATCTCAATCTTTATCTCTTATTTTTAATGCTTTATACCAAACGGAAACATAAATTACATTTATTTACTTATTTATTTTACTTCAGTATGGTTTGTTGGCCAACTATTCTTTCTTTTTCTCCTTTGTTTTTTATGGATACAAACTAAAACATATTTCTTACGACTCCATCATCCAATGATTTGTTTCTTAACATTTCCACCTTGTCTTACATCACCCCCCCCTTCTCATCTTTATTTGATTCGCTTTTTTTTTTTTTGTGGTAACGCTCATCTTTATTTGATTTGATATGAGTTTTTATCTCTCTCCAACAGTCGTTGTTTGGTAAAATTACATTTTCAAGCCCTTTCGAGACGCGGGATAAATATAAAACATAGTTATATATAAAAATATCGCAATTAAAAACAAGGACAGTTAAATATAATATATTTTACGTTTTTGCTAAAAGCCCCCCCGGCTACATATACACATGAGATTGAATATATATATATATATATATATGGAATAAATATTATAGACATAAAATGGCTCCTATTGGAGGCATTGTTGAACTGTAAAAATAAAAAAAATTAATACAAACTTTGATCTTTTAAGTTTATTTTTATTTTGGTTTTGGTCTTTCAAGTTTTTTTTTCATTTAAAACATTAGTCCATATAATCCAATAAAACTTGAATTATTTTACCCTTAAAAGATGAAAACCAAAATGAAGGTAAACTTATAAAACTAAAGATTATATTAACCCAAATAAAATCAATTAACAGTTTTTGCAGCTGAATCAGTAGGGTTGACGTTCATTTTTGGGATGTGGCCCAAAGAGCCCATTTGAGGGAAGTGTGGGCTGGGCCTTCCCTTCTCTCTTGCTGATGCTTCTTTTTCTTTATCCAGTACATGGTTCCGCTTGCTCGTTCTGAGCTTTTCTCCTTCTTCCCTGTCGCCATTGTACAGGTAGAACCTTTTTCATCCTTATTTATTTCTCTTGATTTGAATTTTTATTTTTTATTTTTTGGTTAAATATAAGTCATATTCCAGATTTCAATATATAATTATTGCGTGTTTTCAATAATAATAATACCTCTATCAAAAGATAGTTAAAATTCAAAATATATGGGAAGTGTGATTGATATGATTTAATTTCCACTTTGATCTTCTCATTGAAAAAAAAAAAAAAGCACAAGTAAATAACATAGGAAACATTAATTTTGTCAAATTTGTGTTTGCATATATCACTGGATTCACATGAAATATTGTGTGTCTCTCCTAACTTCACATCTTCTTCCTTTTTTTCTTTATTCAGGGTCACATGCATGTTCACACCGCCCGACTAATAGTGCGATGCCACACTTGTTATTTTCTGTCTTCTTCTGATCTGCATATAAAGCTGTGTATGATCATCCATTCTCACGACGCCACACTCCTTAATCCTTATATCGCCTATATAAAGCTTATCCCACGTGGATTCTCTCTATAGCCTATATTTTATCCCAATAATATTCTATTTTAATATTCTATATATATATACTACTATCATCTGGAAAGTGCACCATTTATAAAAGAAAACTCCAATGCAAGTTTAATTTATTCGATAGAGAAAGCCAACATCATAAATTAAACTAGACATTATATATTTATGCTTAATTACTTAAATCAAGTGACTGGTTTCCTGCCCAAAAAAAAGAAGAAGTGATGAGTCAATAAAGACATCTCGTTATTATTTCTGCATGACTAGCTACTACATTTGCATATTATCTAAAACATGCTATATACTCTTCTGATCCTTAATATAAAATCCAATTGTTAAGTTGGTTTTGATCCTAAATATAAGACTCATTTCTTATATTTATCAATTTTCTCTAAATTATCCCTATAGATACTCCCTCAACCATAATCAAGTAAAAGAAGAAGAGGGAATATTAAAAAAGATGATTATAGTATTTTAGAAAAAACATGTCACATTTCTTATAACTAACTAACTTTTCTAACTTTCTTAATCTAATCAAAATAGTTAAATGGGTCTTATATTACTGACCGGAGGAATATATATATATATATATATATGCATGTTTCCCTAAAATGACCCCCCTGAATTCAAATTTCTTTCCGTCTAGCTAGATATCTCTTGAAATGCAAGAACATGGACGTATCTTAAAATAAAGAAAATGCATATGAAAGCTTTTTCCTGTATATAAGAAAAGCCATGCATAATAATTTTTCCAATAATTTAAAGCAACTATCTTAGCTATCTATCGCAAGTGTTTCCTTCTGAATTTCAAATATAAATCACTCAGCTACTATCTCCTCCTCTACTTCAAATTACAGCTTCTCCACCACCTCATCACCATCTTCATCACTGTACTCTCTCTCTCTCTCCCCCTCTCTCTGTAAACATGGCGAAAACCATGCCTTCTCCCTCACTACTCATATTTCTCCTCCTCGCCACCGCCGTCTCTTACACTTCCTCCCACTCTCACTCGACCTCCGTAGACTCCTTCATCTTCGCCGGCTGCACCCAACAGAAGTACTCCTCGGACTCTCCTTATTCCTCCAACCTCCAGGCCTTACTCACCTCCCTCCTCAGCTCCGCCACCTACTCTTCTTACTCCAACTTCACCGTCCTCGGCTCCTCCGCCGTCTATGGCCTGTACCAGTGCCGTGGCGACCTCTCCATGCCCGACTGCTCTTCCTGCGTCTCCCACTCCCTCTCCCGTCTCTCCGCCCTTTGCCCCTCCACCTGTGGAGCCGCCGTCCAGCTCGACGGCTGCTTCGTCAGGTATGATAACGCCACCTTCGTCGGCGTCGAGGACAAGACCGTCGTTTTCAAGAAATGCGGACCTTCCGCAGGAAGTAGTAGCACTAGCAGCAGCAACGATATGGGAAGCACGGAGGCGGTGCTGGCTGGGTTGTCGGGTTCGGCTGGATATTTCAGGGTGGTTGGGTCGGGTAATGTGCAGGGCGTGGCTCAGTGCAGCGGCGATCTTGCGTTCGATCAGTGCCGGGACTGTCTGTCGGAGGCAATCCGACGGCTCAAAAGCGACTGTGGAAGTGCCAATTACGGGGACATGTTCTTGGGGAAATGTTATGCGAGATACTCAGTTGGTGGGGCCCACGCCTATGAACCCAAGGCCCACGGTAAGGCCCATAGCTGCCTTATTTTTAATTTTTAAATTAAAGTAAACTTTCATTAAATATCCCAATTTATGATTCTTTTTATTGTCAAAAACTTCAAACAATATTGTTAAATATAATAATATTATCCCATCATTTTATATTTTTTAAATTTTATGTAGATATTTTTCAAAATAAACAGTAAATCATGAATATATCTCTTTAGTTTTATTAAATTCACATGCATTCTTTTTATGTTTTAAAGTGTACACAAAATTTGAATTTAGAAGAATTTGTAAATTTTGAAAAATTCTTTTATGAATTTTACATTAAAATAAGTGTCTGATTTTAAAAGAATGTGTAATGTAATTAAATGCATTATTTTGTAAGCAAAGTAAGATAAATGTGGGATTGTTACATTTAAATAGAATAAAGTATTTTTTATACTATTTATTTTTATTATTAAGATATTTTTATGCTATCTATTATTATATATTAGAACATGAGTAGTAATGAACATATTAAAATTTCATTATA